TTCCTCTATTATCACTATATTATCAGTACAATCTGTCATTGCTCTTTTATCCTACTATTGGCAATTTGTACCTTCTCAGTGTTTTTACTGGTCTTTTGGAAGGTAGAAGTTTGTTCATGTCATTGATATTTTCATACCATTGATGTTTGCAAAGGGTCAACTTTTGGTTTCATTGATATTTTTCTCTTTTGTTTTCCTGTTTTCTATTTCACTGAATTCCATTTGGATTTTATTTTCTTCCTTTTAGACTTAATTCATTGTTTTTCTTCCCATTTCTTAAGGTGAAGTAATTGATTTCAAGTTGTTCTTTTTTGTATTGTAGGCATTTAGTATAATAAACTGTCCCCTAAGTATTCATTAATGGCACACATACGTCTGACACATTGTACTTTTTTTTTTTTATTGTAAAGCTACTATACAGAGGGTTACAGTTACATGAGTGAGGTTATGAGTACACTTCCTCTTGAACATTGTTACCCCCTCCATTGTTTTCCCCCTACCATCCCCTCCCTCTCTCCCTTCCCCGAGGTTCTTTTTTTTTTTTGATTGTGATTAAATGATTACATAATTTCAAAGTCACAAGTTCATTCTAACTTCCCTGGAGCAAATTGTCTACCACAGTCTGTAATATATAACAGTGTTCACATGTTGTATACCATATTTGTGATCAGCAGCATGAGGATTTTTAGTAGTGGTTCAACCAGATGAGCGGGAGTTCTTTGTTTCTTAAGTCCTGTTAGTTTTGTCGTATCACCTAACCTTTTGGATTTAGCATCCACTTATGAGGGAGACCATGTACCGTTTGTCTCTTCGTTCTTGGCTTACCTCGCTCAACATGATTCCTTCTAGCTCCATCCATTTCCCTGCAAATGCCATTATTTTGTCATTTCTAATGGCTGCATAATATTCCATTGTGTATAGATACCACAATTTTTGGATCCATTCATCCGTGGTGGGGCACCTAGGTTGTTTCCATATCCTAGCTATTGCGAACAGTGCTGCAATAAACATGGAGGTGCACGTGTCCTTGTATATTGGTTCCTGTTGTTCAGGGTAGATGCCTAGAAGTGGTATGACTGGGTCGTAAGGGAGGTCAATCTTTAGCTTTCTAAGGACCCTCCAGACTGCTTTCCAAAGTGGTTGTATAAGTGTACATTCCCACCAGCAGTGTAATAGGGTTCCTCTTTCTCCACATCCCCTCCAGCATTTGTCGTTGGCTGATTTGTGGATGTGGGACATTCTGACTGGGGTAAGGTGGTATCTCAGGGTTGTCTTTATTTGCATTTCCTTCACCACCAGGGATGATGAACATTTCCTCATGTGTTTCTTTGCCATTTTTATTTCTTCATTTGAGAAGTCCCTCTTTAGTTCCCTTGCCCATTTAGTAATTGGTTTGTTAGGTTTGGGAGGGATTAGTTTCTTGAGTTCCCTGTATATACAGGATGTTAACCCCTTGTCTGATATATTGCTGGTAAATATTTTTTCCCAATTAGTTGGTTGTCTTTCTAGCTTAGTTGCGATAGATTTAGCTGTGCAGAAGCTTTTTATTTTAAGGTAGTCCCATTTGTCGAGTCTCTCTCCAACTTGTTGTGACCCTGGGACTCTGTTCAGGAAGTTCCTTCCTGTGCCTATTAGTTCAAGTGTCTCTCCTACTCTGTCCTGCAGTAGTTTCAGAGATTCAGGTTTAATGTTAAGGTCTTTAATCCATTTTGAGTTGATGTTGGTGCATGGTGATAGGCTGGGGTCCACTTTTAGTTTTCTGCATGTGGCTGCCCAGTTTTCCCAGCACCAGCGGTTGAAGAGGCTGTGTTTCTTCCATTGTATGTCTTTGGCTCCTTTGTCGAATATCAGCTGGCTGTAGGCCTGTGGATTTATATCTGGATCTTCTATTCTGTTCCATTGGTCTTCGGGTCTGTTTTTGTGCCAGTACCATGCTGTCTTTGTGATTATAGCTCTGTAGTAGAGTTTGAAGTTCGGCATGACACATTGTACTTTAATTTTTATCTAGGTCAAAAACTTGTTATCTGTGGGCTTCCTTGAGCCATGGGTTATTTATTTCAGGAATATTGAAATTCTGTCTTTTATTAATTTCTAATTTGATTGGATATTTGTTCTCTGGGAATATAATTTGTATAAGTTGAATCCTTTTAAATTGACTGCAACTTGTTTTATAGCCCAAATAGGGTCTATCTGTGGCCAGTGATGGGAAGAAGGAGGTCTTTTATTGGGGTGTGCCATTGTAAATGGGCATAGTTTCTCAAATTTATTTCCCTGTTCTTTTGGAGTGGATTGTGCTATGAATGTCAGTCATGTTAGGTTACTGATGGACAGTGTCTACTATTTCCCATCTGATTGCTTCCTTTATTATTGAAAGAGTTATTGAGAAAGGATAATTCAGTCTTCAGCTATAATTTTGGACATGTCTATTTCTTCTTGTAGTTAGTTAGATTTCCCTTCATATATTTTCAGTCTCTGAATTCAGTACTGTATAATATTCCACTTTTTCTTATTTGCATTGTTTCTGACAAATTCACATCATGGCTCTGCAAGTATAGTGTGTGTTCCTATTGGATGCTTTAAAAATTATTATTATTATTACCATTATCTCTTAGTAGTTGTACAAAGAGGATTCAATTCATTATGCCAGTTTGTGAGTATAATGCATCTTGACCAGTGTCAGCCCTCCCATCATTGTCCACCATCTCTCCCATCCCCTCGATTTTCCTAGTTCCATTTTCACTTATGTATATTGAATATTGTGACTCTATTCTCCTACCTTTCCTCTCTCCATCCACCTCCTCCTCTTGCTGTTCTTAAGGTGCTTTTTTCCTTATCACTGGTTTTGAGAAATTTGATTTTGATGTGCCTTGATGTACTTCTGATTATGTGTCTTCATGCATTTGGAGTTCACTGGATCTCTAAGTTTAGAGTTTATAACATTTTACAAGTTTATAACACTTTTAGCATTATTTCTTCACATGTTTTCCTGATTCCCTCCCTCGTTTGAAGGTAAATTAGGCCACTTGAAATTGTCCACAGTACGCTGATGTTCTTCTTATGTTCTTGTATTCATTTTTTTAAATTCTCTATCAATTTGATACTTCCTATTGCTGCAAGTGTACTAATCTTTCCTTTTACAAGGATCAATCTACTGTTACACCTCTATCATGTGTTTTTCCTTTGAGACACTACAGTTTTTGTCTCTAAAAGTTCCCTTTGGCTTTTTCTTATTTTGTATTTTTATCTAGCTTATTGAAACTATAGTTGATCGTAACAGTTTCAACAACCTTCCCTGCCAGTTCTAGCATCTGTGTTTATTCTAGGCCTGTTTTGATTGATTGATCTTCTCCTTATTAAATGTCATGTTTTTCTGTCTCTTCTGGTAATCTTTGACTGATTGCCAGGCATTGCAAACTTGACCCTATTTATTCCTATAAATCTCAAGCTTTGTTCTAAGATGAATTAGGTTTCTTGGAAACAACTCGATTCTTTTAAGACTTTTTTTTTAATGATTTGTTAGGTGAGCCTGACGCAATCCAGAGTCTAGGGCTAATATTCCTCACTACTGAGCAAGGCCTTCCTGCCTTCTGTACCTAGCATACCATAAATTGTAAGGTTTTCCAATATGGTTGGAGGGAACAGGTAGTTTTCTGTCCCTCTGTGAACAGCTAAATACAATCTAATCTTTTCTCATTTTTCTCTGGCTGCAGATAATTTCAGAAAGCAAGTGCGGATCAATATCCTTGAACATTTGAGAAGGACTGTGTTCATTTCCCTTTGGCTTAGCCAACCAAAGCACAACAACCTGCTTTGGAAAATGAGAGGGCAAGGATGGTTCAGTGGCCCCTCAAATGTTTTCTGTAAGTGTAGGAATTCAAGGCAGTTTCTAGTTGGTCACTATTTTCCACACTGTCTACAAGTAATATGTCCTACCTTAGAAAAACATACTGTGATTACAATAACTTTTAAGACCTTGCTTTTATTTTCATATATAGGTTGTAGGTTTCCTTTGCCCTCAGCTTTAGAAAGGCAGGACTTAGTGAAGACTTAAAACTTCTCTCTCAAGGGGCACTGGTCACTCAGTCTGTCATCCTAGCTACTCAGGAAACTGAGATCTGAGGATCATGGTTCAAAGCCAGCCCAGGCAGAAAGTGTTCTTGTAGTCATTTTTATAATTCTCTGTCAATTGGATACTTCCTATTGCTTCAAGTGTACTAATCTTTCCTTTTACCATGTTTTTATCTAGTTTATTGAAACTATAGTTGACAGTAGCAGTCTCAACAACCTTCCCTGCCAGTTCTAGCATCTGTGTTTATTCTAGGTCTGTTTTGATTGATTGATCTTCTCCTTTTTAGATGTCATGTTTTTCTGCCTTTTCTGGTAATCTCTGACTTATTGCCAGGGTGTGGCTCAAGTGGTAGAGTGTCAGCCCCAGTACTACTAACACACATGCATTCGCATGTGAGTGAGGGTTTGTTTTTTTTTTGTTTGTTTGTTTTTCTGGTTACCTGGGGATAAGGATTTCATGGACTTTTCTGCCCAGGCTGGCTTCAAACTACAATCCTTAGCTCTCAGCATTCTGAGTAGCTAGAACATGGACATGAGCCACCAGCATCCAGCTCTCATCTTATTTTTAACATTAGGTTGGGTTTGCTTTTATCTGCTGAGCTGAAGGACAATGCAATGGCAGTGGAAACAAACCTTTGCTCACATCTCGTGAATCAGGAACACGTGCCACAAATAGAGAGCAGAGTCGGGTAGGTAAATGAAGGTATTTTACCACATCATCTGAAGTAAAGGCCCAGCTGTGGTCCCTCTCTTTAGACCTATGTTCTCAGAGGACCATTGTAGATATTCTGCTGAATAACTAACACATCTGAAGACTTTAACAGAGATAAATTATGTTTTCCAGTTGAAGCAGTTCTTTTCTTAAATTTACAAGGGAACACACTGAATCTTATCCACTTTCTTTTATTAGGCAAACCATTTACATTTTATTATGAAAATGAAGTCTATAAACAAGATTACTTTATTAAGTCACCACCTCCTCAGCTTTTCTTCTCGGCAGTAAGTATTCACTACAGTTTCACAAGCCTCCCACCAGCTCTTAGGAGCATTAAAAATTTTTTTTTTCTTTCTCTTCCTCAGAGATCTAACTGACATGAAAAATCTTTCCATTTTTCAGAACTCTTGGAAAAAGCGTTTCTTTATCCTGTCAAAGAGTGGGGAAAAGGGCCTGAGCCTTTCTTATTACAAAGACCATCAGCACCGAGGGTCCATCCAAATTGATCGGTGTGTATGTAAGCAAGAGAACGTTTCTATCAGAGAATATAATTAAAGTCCAACGCTAACACATTGCATGAAAATTTAACTTTACCTTGACAGAAGGAATCCAGGGCTTCAAACTTATCACTGTTGTATCCGTAAGGCAACTAAAATAATGAATACTTTGGGCAAAGAATAGTAAAATATTTATCCTCTATTGTACATTATAGCTGATAAATCTTTAGTAAGCATTCATTTAAGACTTTGGTTCATTTAATTTATGGATAGAATGGAGAAGATGAAATTACAATTTTATAATGCCAAGGTAGAATTTAAGAAATATTTAGATAAGCTTTTAAAAAAAAATCTTCCCTTTAGAAAATTATGTACAAAAAATTTGGAAAAGGTTGTTTCTGGAGTTAAGAATACAACTCAAACAGGACCTTTTGGATTAAGTATTCAGGTAGAAGCAAGGATTTTCAATTAAGGATGAGTCATAGTTAAAACCCAATTTATCTTCTAAAGTGGAGATAATTCAATTAATAATCAGCAGCAGCATAACTCAAATTATTGGACAGTCTTCAAAACATGGCTCAAGTAGATCTTAAGCTTCGTTCCATTTGAATCCTATTATAAAGCATGAGTCAGTTTTCTTCCTAATCTGGTACATACAGCCATTTAGCACTTTGTCTCTGTATCTCACAGAAGTTCCAGTGTAGAAGTTGGAATAAACAGCCAGGAAAGGATGCAATCTGTGCAGAAGATGTTTAAATGCCACCCTGAGGAGGTGATGTCCATAAGAACCTCCAGCAGGGACTACTTCCTCATCAGCCAAGACAGGTAGGTGGAATAGCCATGTGCAAAACAAAAGCAACCCCGGAAAGAAGACCTTGTAGAGTAGTGGACATGGAGAAGCAGAACAGAAACACAGAAAGAGAATCCCAGGGCTAAGGAATACAGATGTTGACAAGGCTATGCTGCCCCCTGAAGCACTAGGGTGCCCCAGGGCTCCCTCCTAACTGCTGATTGACCTTTCCATTATGACAGCACAACTCTGGCTGTCACATGGTGTTCTCCTGTGTCCCTATCTGCATCCAAATTCCCCCCCCCTTTTTTTTTATAAGAACACCAGTTATATTGGACTAGGATCCAACTCTACTCCAGTAGAACCTCATCTTAACCAATTATATCTTCAGGAACCTTCTTTCCAAATAAAGTCATGTTCTGAGGACTGGGAACTGGGACTGGATCATGTATATTCTGGTAGTGGGAGAATGACACAATTCAACCCACAATAGTCTCTAGCACCCCAGGAACATGCTACAAAAACCAAACTCAATATGTAAACCCTTCAACAAGCTACACAGATCATGGAAGAACCATATTCACCTCTGAGAGTCTCAGTTCTTTGTTTTTGTTGTTTGTGTGGTTTGAACTCTGGGGCTTGGGTGCTGTCCCTGAGCCTGTTTGTGCTCAAGGCTAGCGCTCTACCACTTGAGCTACAGCACCACTTCCAGTTTTTGAGTAATTAATTAAAGAAATGAGTCTCACAGGGACTTTTCTGCCTAGGCTGGCTTCAAACCACAATCCTCAGTAGCTAGGATTACAGGTGGGAGCCATCAGCACCCAGCCAAGAGTCTTCAGTTTTAAGTGGGGCTCCTATAGCTAGCCAAAGTGCCCAGTGGATTCTCAACCCCTACTTATCTGTGAGGTAGGCTACCAGGCAGAGGGAAGCTGGACAGAAGAGGCAAGTGATACTAAAGCCAAAGTATGAAGTACCTGATCTGTTTCAAATTGATCGCCAAACCCAAAGCTTTCTGTGAATTGTCATACAAAAGATGATGGGATTTTTCCTCTTCCATTATTTATTTTTACTAGTGGATTTCAATTATGAAAAAATGGGTTTCATTACATTATTTCATGCCTGTATGTAACAGACTTTGATTGTCTTCATCCCCCTGTTAATTTTTTTTAATTTTATTTTATTTTATTTGAGAACATACTGTACAGAGGGGTTACAATTACATGGGCAGGATAATGTGTACATTTCTTACCAAGCATTGCAGCCTCCTCCTTTGGTTTACCCCCTGTTAATTTGCCTTGCCCCTGTCCTCCTGCCGATCCCCTTTCTTTTCCCAGAGACTCCTCTTTCTATTTTCTTGTCTTCCTGTTTTTACAAATCCAGATCCCACATATAAGGAAAAAATATATAGCAACAGTGGTTCTTCTAAGCCTCGCATATTGTGTGTCGCAGGATGACCTCTAATTTCATTTTCCTGCAAATGACTTTCATTCTCCTTTGTGGACAAATAAAACTCCATTGTGTACATATACCTCATTCTCTTCATCCATTCATCTGTTGCCTGGCACAGGCTGATTCTGTGACGAGTCTATTGTGATGAGAACTGAGATAAAACCTGGGTGTGCACACCTGCCTACAATAGTGCACAAAAGTGACTAAACTCAATGTTGTTTTGGTTTGCATTTCTCTGCTGGATAAATGTATTTTTTTCATGAGCTCATTGGTCATTTATAAAAGGACAGAATTCATAAATTCATTCAAGCCTTCTTCATAAACACATGCATTCTCTGTGGGGAGGTGCCCCTAGAGACTTACACAAAAATGGTATAGACAGGTTAAGAACTTAAGAATACAATACAAACTTGTTGTTAAAGCCCACCCCACAAACCTTTTGATTATTCCTATTATTTTCCAGTTTGCTTCCCATTTCTCTGAGCTTTCCTCTGCAGGGTTGCATAAAGGTTAATTTTAGATTGTGAATGTGGAGGTGGTGAGAAGCCAGTAGGCCATTTAAGCTGCTTGGAAAAAAAAAAACAACAATACAAAACAACAGCAAAACAACCTCCTTCCCTGGTAGCTGCTTCTACAATCTGTTCTAACTGTTCTAAAAGCATCCTTCTCCGATTCAAAATGAGTGCAGCTGCTATTGTTGCCACATGCCAGCTGAGAGTTTCTTCCTATCAACAGGGAGAAGATCAAAGATTGGGTCTCCTTCATGTCATCCTTTTGCTGGGACGTTGTTCATCAAAACATGGAGGTGACTCTATGTTACTAATGCTATTAAATAATGCCTGAACACAACCCCTTTGCATGGGAACAATATTAGCTTTTATTTTATTTCTTCTTAGTAACTGGCATTAATACAGGGAAGAAGTAAGTATGAAAACGTTCACCCTTGTTACCTTTTATGATTAACAAAAGGGAACAAAGTAGTTTTGTGCTTTGTGAGAGAACTAAAATACAAGCGTTTCAGATTCTCATTATTGTGATAGGGGAGTGAAAGTTAGCAGTGGAATTTTTAATAGTAGTCAGAATGATAGTATTTTCCCATCATTATTATTCAAAGAGCTTAATAAGCTTCCTTTCAAATGACTAATCCAATGGTGGTTTCTATAAAGATGTGTTTCATTTTAATATGATGTCTCTTTTGTTTCAGGCCTAATAAGCTCTGAGGTTTTGTTTTTCTTCATAATGGGCTTTGTTAGTTTACCCAGTTCTTTCTTCCAGTAAACCTTTAAAAAATAGACTCTATGTTTTCTAGGTTGTTCCATGCTCATAGCAAAAAGCAAAAGCCAGCCTACACTGGTGGCTCATTCCTATAATTCTAGCTACTCGCAAGGCTGAGGATCTGAATATCACAATTCTAAGCCAGCCCAAGCAGACAAATCTGGCAGACTCTCACCTCCAATTAACTAGTGAAAAGCTGAAAGTAGAGGTGTGGCTTAAATGGTAGAGCTCCATCCTTGAGCAAAAAAGCCAACCAAGAGAGTGAAAGTACTGAGTTCAAGTACTAGCATGAAATTTAAGGAAAAAAAGAGGTTGGACACATGGCTCAGGTGGTAGGTACCAGTCAATAAGCGAAAACATCAGATAATGAGTTCAAGTCTTGTCTCAGGCCAAAAACAAACAACAACAAGAACAAAAACAAAGCCAATAAAATCAAGAGACAGTAAGGTCTATTTACAAATAGACTCAATGATGAGATCAGTCAAGGCCCCTGCAGAGACAAACACAAGGAAGATGGGCTGTGGGGAAATACGAGGTGCTCTCAAGGCTAGGCTGTGCATCCTCAGGGCTCTGAGAACAAGAGGGAGACCTACTCACAAGATCCGTGCTCATCTTAGTGAGATGACATTGGCTCCCTGGAAGACCAGCTGTGAGAACCTATGAGAAGATCTTGGAGGCAGGAAGCCCAGGGGGGTGGCTGTTGCTTCATTCTAGACAGGAGACCAATTGTACCCTGATCCCACCATTCCTTTTTCCTGCCTAGGAGAAGCATTCAATGGGTGAAAAAAGGCCTATTTCGGATCCCAGCCCTCTCTTTGGTTTTTTCAGCACATCGGAGTCTGTGGGCCTTCCTGCACCAAGGACCAGCCTTCCAGACGTGGTAACTGGAGTCACCTCCTTCTCTCTTGGGACACTTTACCTGGGAGTCCTACCAGTTAGCAATTGGCTTGGACCTTGCCCATCTTTCTCAAAGCCTAAAGCAGTAACCCTAACATTTATGCATGTTTCCATACCACATGGATATTTTTTTTAATCTTTCCAGGAAACTAGTTATATTTTGCTTACAAGGGAAAGGAAAAGATAGGGAAAATATTTAAACATCAAGAAAACACTATTTTACGGTTCCTGTATTTTTGTATTTATTGCGGTGGAACTAAGTGGCAGTTTTCTGATTCCTTCATTTCTTGTCAGAATGCTGCTTTAAGTAAAATCTACCCATTTCTTTTCCCACCATTTACATCACTATGAAGTCATGGATTACTATTTTATATTCTGAATTCCAATTCATTACTATCATTACTTGGTTTCTCAAAATATCCAGGTTAATTTATCTTCCACATGGATATTTTACCATTGCACCACTATTTAAAAAGATCTTAATTCAGTTTGAATGCGCTAGACAGGCTTGAGGGCCCCTCAGCTAAGCCACGCTTTTCCTTCCTTTCGCACACAGGACATAGATTTCATCCACAGAAAGATTCCCTAAACGGCTTGATTTCTGATTATCCTGTCTGTGCTCAGGCACAAGATGTTCCTTACTAGCTTCCTTTTCTCTCCTCAATCAACCTTGCCTCTTCATATAGCTGTAGCACACTTCACCATCTGATCTAAAGAAACACATTGGAAGACAATATCATATACCTGCCCTGTGCGCGTGACTTGTCACTGACCGCTCAGCTCTCTGGGATTCGTGATGGTTCCAGCTTTGGGTAGTATCAATACGCAGGCTGAGTGGTTTTGCTTTCTCGCACACATATTTTTCCTCCCTTAGAGACATAGTTATTGACTTTCCCCTCTCTGTGTTTACATCTAATGAGGCATGGCCACCTCTTTTATCCAGTTGGTAGTTCTCCAACTCTTTTAAAAGCTTTTTATAGCATATCAGATTCACTAGGCCAAACACTTCATCTCAGTTATCCATTTAGAGTAGAGCTGGTGGTGTGGAAGAAGGCTGGGAAGATTAACCCTTTCCAGCAAATAGCTTTTCTTTTTCACTCATGAGCTTCCTTTCTCTGCCAGTGATAATGTGAGTGTTGCTTGTGCCTTTTTTATACCATGTATTTAGATTTAGTGAGTGTTCAATTAGCTCACGTGAAGGGTATCTCTTGCCTTGCTGGGTTTTGTAGTTGTTGTTCAGCAAGGACCCTTCCCTAGACCCAACTCAGCTCCATCTGGCTCCATGAGTGCCTTTGTGTGTTTTCAGCTGCTGTAATAGAGCACTGCAGACTAGTTAGTTTCTAAATAAAGCAGATTTATTTCTCACAGTGCTAGAGGTTGGGATGTTCAAGACTAAGGGGATTTTATCTTTTGAGGGGCCTTCCTACTGCCTCATAACATGGTAGAGTGAGCAAGTGAGTGAGAGAAGGAAAATCAGAACTCATCCTTTTAACACAGGACCATTCTCATAGTGACAGTATTTGTGCATTCCTAGTACACAGCCCTCACACCTAATCACCTCTTAAGGCCTAACATGTTAATACTGAGAGTGGTGATTAAATTTCAATGTGAATTTAGAGGGGATATTAAAACAATAGCGATGGGCTTAGACATAGAAAAAATTAACTACAGTGAAAGCAGGGGTTATACCGTGGGGGAGGGACATACAAAGCAACATAGAAATCATCTTATAAATATGTTAGAAACAATTGCATGAAAGAAAAAAAAATTTGAATACTTATCTTGGGATTCATTCCCCTAATATCAACTTATCTGACCTTTTCTGCTTGGCTCAAACATATACTAGTTATTGCAAATAAGGGAAACCATGGGACCTATGTATCTTTGGGCCTGGCTTACTTCACTTAATATATTTTTTCCAAGTCTTTCCATTTCACTGTATTTGATATTGGTATAATTTGTGGAGGGGAAGGGCAAAACCAAATCATTTAACTAGGGATACAAGTGGACCCATTGCAACAATGAGATGTACAAGTCATTATGTTGAAAACCGAACTTTACAACTTTGGTGGGGGGCGGGGAGGATTGGGTGGGGCAGGTGGGGGGAGGTAGGGGGAGTATGGGAAGGGATGGGAAGGGGAAACAAAGAGGAGGCAACAATGCTTGATAAGAAATGTTCTCGTTATCTTGCCCATGTAATTGTAACTCCTCTGTATGGTATTCTCACAATAAAAAAATAAAAATAAAGAAAAAATTAACTACAAATGATCCCAGACTTATGAATAGTACTGCATCTTGACTGATGCATCCTAAATTGAAATTTTTATAAGGTGAAAATGTATTAAGTGTACCTCTTCCTATTGAACATCACAGCTTAGCAACACAGTGCAATCTAGAGAGTCCATTGCTTCCCATTATAATTTCAGGACTGACTGGGAACAGAGGCTCCCATTTGCTGTCTAGTACCATAGTGCAATGCATATTGCAAGCCCAGGAAAAAATCAAAATTACAAATTTAACATATAATTTCTACTGAGTGCATATTACTTTTGTATCCTCATAGAGTCGATAGAATCTTAAGTTGAGCCATCATAAATTGAGGATCATCTATATTTCTATTTTATGTTAACTTCATGCTTCAAGGACTTCTGAGAAAGTATTCAAGGTCTTTTCAAAATCCCTCTTGCCATAAGGTATTGTTCTTGAGAGAATTAAATTGTACTTATAACAATTCTTCTGCATACAAAGCAGGTACATTAGTAGAGTATTTTGTGTCTACTGGGGGAGGGAAGACAATAATTAATTGGTTGCACCTATATCACCTTGAAGCCTATAATTCATATTTTCTCATGAGCAACAGTACCTAATTGCACTGCTATGGAAACAGTAGCAGTATGAGCAAAACACAAAAGAAGAATCCTGAACAGGAAGAGGAAAGGTACTGTGCTGGGCTAATTACTTTTTCAGATGGCACTGGGTGACAACTGAAAAAAGATGGGGTGGAGAAACTGGCACAGCTTAGTGACTTAGAATGCCACCCACATGCAAAGACCACACTTTCTGATTTACAGCTCCAAAGAGTAGAAGGGGCAGGGGGCAGGGCGGAGAGAGTCTGAATACTGTGCCCATTTCATCAGAGATGACCCACACTCAAGAGACAGGTTCAAATTGCGTGGGCTTCTGAATGGAACCTTGGGAGATTCTCTGCTCTTGTCAATCACTAATCTATTATAGCTTTTTATTCTCTCCATAATATATATTTAAGGCATACAGTTGACTTTGTCTGGCCCTTTGGGGGGAAAAGAAAATGATTTGTTTCTTCTTTCTCTCTTTTATTCAGTATTTAATGGAAAAATGTTCTCCAGGATTCAAGCAAGCTCATCTTCCTCATGATTTCTTGTCAGAGACCACGCAAGATGCAGAGGAGGAAAGTTATTATCTTAGTCCACGGAGCATTCTTTCAGAGGTTATCCCTCTCATTCATTAATCATGTGTTTCTCCCACAGAAGTCTGCTGGGCCTTGCACACAGTCTGTAATACCATAAGCCTGGGTCAGGGCACAAAGGTATATCGGACACAGATAGATGACAGGCTCATGGTGCTGACATTTGACTAGAAACCAACCTATGACAGAAAGGGCTCCACTCTGAAGAGAGATTAATACGGTGCCCTGGGGCATACCAGGCTTGGGATCTCTGAGAGCAAATTCCCAGATAGAAGAATGGAAAAGGCATTTGATCTTACTTGATGGGCAACAGTTGGTCTTGACTGGCTGACTTGAAAAGTTTTCACATTCTGGACTTTTTTTAAAGAGCAAAGGTCCCCGAGTGATAAATGGTGTGGTGGATCCATCAGCCTATTGACCCAGAGGAGGTCTTTATGACTGCTAGGCACTATATAGGCCTAGGCAAGGTAGCTAGTAATGAGCCTGACCTCAGAGCCTGCAGTCTAACCATAAAACTATACAAAGAGACAAAATGCCCTGGGAGCTTCTGAAATAAAGGACTTTCTCCACTGGAATCAGGCTGGAAAGACTTTGGAGAGAAAATGGCCTTTAATATGTGCTAGTGAATTGTCCAGTTAAGCTACAATTCAGAGAGTATGCATGGTGCAGAAGGGAATAAAACAAAATAGAACCAGATCACAATGGGTCTGAAATACAAAGTTGGACTCACTCTGTGAGCAGACTAGGGACAATGATGACCCCTGAACTAGGAAGTGGCAAAATCCAAATTATCTTGCAGGCTTATTAACCAAGTGGCTGTAACTAGTAAACACAAATACAGAATGTGGAATGGAAGTGGAGACGGAGGACAGCATTTAGGGAGGGGCTGTACCATCTCCCGAACTAGGAGTTTCTACTATATGCTCACACGTGTTCACTTAAAGAAGTACTCTGGGGTCAAGTCAGTTATGGAAGTGTTAAATTATGAGTTAAACAAGCATCTTGACAACATAATTCTCACAGACTTTAATGTGCAGTGACACATTTATAAATAGCCAAGTGGTATACAACACACAGAATTTCCTAGGCTCATTTGAAAACCCTTTCTTTTACCCAAAATAATTTCATATTAGGATTCCCTGGGACTACCAACTGATCAGGTTGGAGTGAGCATTAGTTACAAACTAGCCATTGCGAGACACTGTGGAGGATGCAGATGAAACTATAATAACCTGGATGCTGGTGGCTCATGCCTGTAATCCTAGCTACTCCAGAAGCTAAGATCTGAGGACTGCAGTTCAAAGCCAGCCTGGGCAGTAAAGTCCACAAAACTCTTATCTCCAATTAATTATTAGAAAATCAGAAGTAGAGCTGTGGCTCAAAGTGGTAGAACACTATCCTTGAGCAAAAATGCTCAGGGACAGTGCCCAGCTGGGCCCTGAGTTCAAGCCCCACAACTGACAAACAAACAAAAACCTATGCATTAGAAACTCAGTCCTGGGCAGTGGTTGAGGTGATCAAGAGAAGCTGGGGGACTCCAGGCAAAACTGAACAGTTCGTGTATAGAAGAGAAAGGGGATACTCTAAATGAAGAAAACAGCATGAATGTGGGACTAAAAGTGGAGAGCCTTAGGGATTCTGAAACAAGCTTGGCTATCAATAGATGTTAGCTGTGGGGGGCTGAGGTTACACATGTGCAAGGGCAGAGTCCGGTTCGATGCCTACAAGGGCAGACGTGTCTCGGTCCCTCACCAATCTTGAAGTCATTTGAGCCTGAACCCAGCTCCACATTGTGTCTAGTTTTTGACCCAGCCAGCTTCCATGATTCTGTAGTTGAACCAAATAAGGAAAGAATTTATGGTGTTAAGTTCCCTGTGGAAAATTCCAGTGTAGCCCAATGGAATATCTGTACCTAGAGTGTGAGACACTCTGAAGAGGGTTGCACTTGGAGTTTGCCAGAAGCTTTGCTGGTGTCTTCTCATGTGGGCAAGGTCATTTGATATTCCCTAAAAGAAAGCCACTGTCTATCCAATGGGAAATGTTGATATTCCCTGAAAGAGAGCCACTGCCTATCCAATGGGAGATGAACTTACTACTTTGTGCCCAGTGTATTAGTGCTATGGGTAAGAAGGTACCTGGCTAATTGACACACTTACATTCTTACATCTGTTTCATTCTCTTCAGTTGGACAACATTGATTCCAATGGTCCTGGTAACTCCATTGAACCCAGAAGTCCAGGCCAGGTCTCCGAGAAAACTGAATGTTATTACATGACAATGAAATCCTAGTAAGTGACCCACTGTTCAAAAAGTTACTGCCAATTCATGAGTGTGTGTGTGTGTGTGTGTGTGTGTACATGCACACTAGTCCTGGCACTTGAACTCAGAACCTTGTACTCTTCCTTAGATTTTTCACCCAAGGCTGGTACTTTATCACTTGAGCTGTACCTCCACTTCTGGCTTTTTACATTGATTGGAGATAAGAGTACTACAAACTAGGAGGCAACGATGCTGGATAAGAAATGTACTCATGGGCTGGGAAGGTAGCTCAGCGGTAGAGTGCATGCCTTGCAAGCATGAGGCCCTGGGTTCGATTCCTCAGTACCACATAAACAGAAAAAGCCGGAAGTGGTGCTGTGGATCCAGTGGTAGAGCGCTAGCCTTGAGCTGAAGAGCTGAGGGACAGCGCCCAGATCGAGAGTTCAGGCCCCATGACCGGCAAAAAAAAAAAAAGAAATGTACTCATTACCTTGCTCATGTAAATGTAACCCCTTTAGTATTTTCACAATAAAAACTTAATTAAAAAAAAGATTTTTCTTTTTTAATTACCTTTAAGTAGTTATACAAAGGACTTGCCATTTACAAAGCAGTTTATGAAAACAATATATCTTGATCAATGTTACCTCTTTCAGTATTCTCACCCATCCTTCCACTGCCCACTCCTTCTTCATACTCTTGTAAATTTTGGAGTCTATACATTGGATTCTTGACTGCATTCTCCACCCTGGCCCCCCTGCCCTCCTCCTCACCCCGCCCCCGGCCTTCTCCTCTTCATTTGTCTACTTTGTTCCCCTTGAACCCACCCTCCCCCTTTCAAGTAACCACTTCCTGATATTTTATTTTGCAGAACTTTGGGTTTTCCTATCTAAGACATTACACCATTTGGGTTCTCCCTTGAATCTACCACACTTCGGTTAACACATTTGTATCCACTTGCATAGCACCCGAAGTATTTACTTACACATTGATAAGGTAAATCTAACTTCCCCATATAAGGGGAAATATGCATCCTTTGTCTTTCTGGGCCTGATTTACTGCCAGGGCTGGCTTCAAACCTTGATCCTCAGATCTCTGCCTCCTAAGTAGTTAGGATTATAGGCATGAGTCAATTCATTTTTAATAGCTGGCAAATCGATGCAAACATTATCACTCCATTCAATATGTTATTCAATACAAGTTGAATGTTCTTTATATGATATGCTGGGATCAGAGCTATTTCAGATTTCAGAATGTTTTTTCACATTTTAGAATATTTGCATAAACACAATGAAATATCTTGGGGATGGAACTCAAGTCTAAATAGAATCCATTGACGTTTCTTATATACTTTACACATATACCCTTAAGATAATTTTGTACATTATTTTTAGTAGCTTTGAAATGGAATAAAGTTCTCCTATAAATTTCCTACTTGTATTATGTCAGCACTCAAAATTCATATTTGGGAGGATTTTAGATTTTGGATTCTTGGATAAAGAATGTTCAACTGTAATCTTAGAATATCAGAAAGTGGCAATGGTTTGTCCACTTACAGAAAACCATTTGTGACATTCACAGGGCATTTTCTGCCTAGAGGAACTGCTTTCTGATTTGCTTTTATTTCTCTCACACTCTCACTCTGTTCTTTAAACCCTATGAAGGGTTATTCTGATTTCATGACCATTTTTAGAAGGAGAGCTTGTTGGATTTGATCCTAGCTATGGCCATGATTCTGCTGGCTGGACATCCTTCAAGACCTTGTTCGCTTTCACATGGCTGTTAGTGACTTAAATCTGACATGCACAATGGAAAGTTGTAAATAGACAAGCTAAAAAAATAGAATTTGTTTTAACTTCTCTAGCTTTTTCAAAGAAACACCCCATACGTCTACTGATGGCCAAGAGGAATCCCAGACCTTGCCTGAGGCCCAGGATGGGGAGCTTCACTTGGAAGAACAAGAATCAGGAAGTGACTTGTATCTCTCACTGGCCAATCCAGAAGCACAGACCACAAATGAGAAAAGGGGGTCTGCCTCGCTAACTGTTGTGAAATTGTCTATATTACTCAAGTAAATATCTCATTTCTAAACTTTTGTGGGACCTAAGAGAGCAAAGCAGGCTTCCAATTTTTACTTAGAATTTAAAATTTTAAGGACATTCCTAAAAAATCTCTAGGTTAGCCAAGAATCTGACCAGATTCTCCCTGGTGTAAAGATAGTGAATTAACAAAGATCCTCTATCCTGAACTGAGCAGTATGGACATGGAAAATCTCATGAAGATTAATATAAATGAGAAGGAGAATGTTTAGGGTTTATGTGATAGCTAGGGCTTTCATAGGATGGTTGTGATTTTGATTCTTCCTCTTCTATAAATTCGTTCTCAGCAGAGCAGTATGCAACTGATGTGAAGTAGGTGAATATATAATCCATGTCATCCAGATGTGGCTTCCTTGGTCCTCATCTGCCAACTGTTGCCCTGTCCTATTAGGGGTGGGGAAGGACAGGAATGAGTCATTTTTAGTCATTTAAACTGTAAAAGTCAGATCGTACACTAACTCACTGTGTCTATGAACTTTCCCTTCCTGAGTAGATTTTTGGTTTCCTATTTCTAAGACAGTAGTTTCCAATTAAAGGATGTCCAAAATGTTTTCCCTCCAGTAACATCCTGGATGACAGCCAAGTGGAGACAGTGCATTTGTTCCTTTCACCTCCTGATATCATAAACTACCTTGCTCTCGTTGAAGCTGCAGGACGGATATGGTAGGTAGGAGTTTTGATTGATACTGACCAGCAATGATACTGAAAGAGAGAAACAGAACAATTATACTGTGTGTGTGTGTGTGTGTGTGTGTGTGTGTGTGTGTGTGTGTGTGTGTGTGTGTGCGCACGCGCACGCATGCGCGCGCATGCGCCAGATCTTGATTTCAGGGCCTCTTACTCTTGCTTGGCTTTTTTGTAGTACCACAGAAGCCATACCTTTACTAACAGCTTTTCGTTGGTTAGTTGGAGATAAGCAGTTCACATGTTTTTTTCTCATCTCTGGGCTATCTGAATTGCAGTCCTTAGATCTCAGCCTCCAGAGTAGCTAGAATTACAGGTGCCTGGGCAGTTATTTATAAAACACTATATATAATAATACTGACTGTGTTCTTGGGCTATTATGTTGTCAGAAAAAGATCTTTGAGACAAAAAGCAGAGTATTTCTTGCCAGAGGTGGGTATAAAAAGGCCTCAAAGTCCAGGAGACAGTCCACTTATTTCTGATTTCTCAAAGAGAGGAGAAATAGACAGAGCGCATATACCCCAGGACACCTTTACCAGTCACTGCATAATGGATATTTTATGAATAAAAGAAGTGAAGGAAATCACCAAGAATCAAGGGACTAAAAGAAAAAGGCACCTCACAGCCTAAGATCTCTAGACATAAGTCCAAAACTTCTTGTTAGAGATTTCAACACAGAAGACCAGTGGCACTGACTCCTTAACACAACCACCATTAACTTGACTCTACATTCTTTTACAGTGTGGTAAAGGATGATGATACCTATTTGTAATTCCAGTACTCAGGAGCTGGAGGCAGGACAATTAGCAAGTTCAAGGCCAACCTGGACTACACTGTGAGTTCCAGGCTACCTCTGATTACTTAGCAAGACTTCATCTTAAACACAAAATTAATCAAAAAGATTCTAATTCATTTTGGTAGAACATTATATTTTTATTAAGAAGTCTTTTAATGTAAACAAAATGCAACACACTGGTTATCTTCTAAGTTCTAAGTGGGCAGGGACCATAATCTCCCATTTTCTCAAAATGTTCCATAATCTAAAGCTCAGGAGTTGAGCAGGTTATATAGGTTTGCTTCTCTATGACTGAGCTTGCTCATTAACTCTATCATTCATTTGTTCATTAAATATTCAGTGTGTAAGCTTATCCTCACATTTTCAACAAAACAGAGTGATCTCTATTTACTTAGAGATGCAGGGTTGTAAAAAATTAAAAAATGAAACAAACAACCATGTGGCCTTTGCTGGGTCCCATACCCTGGTGAAAGAGCTTGCCATGTTTGATGTTATTTTAAATTAAAATAGATAAGGTATTCTCAGAATGCAGTATGAGGCCTGGAGCAAGGAAGATGATTAAAGCCAAGGAAGTTGATGGAGGGCTACGTAGGGCTTTGCAAGGTTGGTGTCATTGGAGTAAGGTTTTGGAAGAAGAGTTAGGCAACAATGGTAATAGAAGGAAAGATATTCACAACGGAAAAAGGTGTGTGGCAGCTCGGATCAGAGGGAGGAGACCCCAGCAGGGCCTTCCCCTACCTTCTCTGCGAACTCAGTCTCACCCCAGTGTTGGATGCTGTATTCCCGCTGCAGTGTGACTCGGTGGGAGGGCCCCCCACATCTGGGATGCTTGTTCTGCCACGGAGATCACGTCTTGGCCGTGAATGACCTGAAACCCCAGAACATGGAGGAGGTGTCTTTGTTTCTCACACGGTCCATCCAGAGGGAGGTGAGTCTTTTTGATCAGCCTTGGTCAGAATACTTCAATGTCAAAGAGCCTGAGATCAACATCATCAAGGGAGTCTGCAAAGTACTTGGGATACCAATGAAACTCTTCTTTCCAAATAAAGTAGTATTTGGAAAAAGCAACAGGTGAAGAGAGAGGGCTCTGAGTTGCTGGCTCCAGATGCAGCCCCATGTTGCACATGGAACTTGTGATGAGCCAGACTGGCTCATGAATGAATTGTAATGCATCATTTTGAATCTGTTTGTGCCTCCATTTTCTCTTCTGTAAAATGTAGGGACACTCATAATACCAGTACTGGATAATATGCCACAGGGTGTTTATGATGTGACTGTGTGTGTCCGTTGCTCAGTGTGTTTGTGCTATTGGCCGTGCAACATTGGATAGGCTTACCTTTTCAAATGTCAGTTTGTCATCTTTGAAATTGACATCTCCCTGCTTTCATCATGGATTCACATTATTAAAAAAAAAGTATGTGGGTAATATTATACATTTACATAGTTTTGGTAAGTACTGGGGTTTGAACCTAAGACTGTATACTCATTTGGCTGGCCTGTGTGGCTGATGCTCTGTTCCTTGAGCTACCTGGCTTTTTGTTGGCTAATTTGAAGATGGAGTCTCACGGACTTTTCTGCCTGTGCTGACTTTTAACTTTGATCCTCTGGAGCTCGATCTCCTGAGTAGGATTACAGATATGAGCCACCAGCGCCAGACAGGCTAGCCTATTTTTTTGTTAGTTAGTGGGGCTTGAACTCAGGGCCTGGGTGTTGTCCCTGAGCTCTTCAGCTCAAGGCTAGTGCTCTACCACTTTGAGCTCCAGTCTACTTCTGGTTTTTGAGTGGTTGATTGGAGATAAGAGTCTCAGGGGGACTTTCCTGCCTGGGTTGGCTTTAACCTTGATCCTCAGAACTCAGCCTCCTGAGTAGCTAGGATTATAAGCGTGAGCCACCAGCACCCAGCTAGGCTAGTCTATTTTTAAATTATCTCACCTATTATTCCAGTCTTCATATTATTCAATCCTTCCTGGTATACTTTTAGTGCCAGCAAGCCCTGAGGCATTGGGAAAATCTCTTCCTTGTCTGGGTTTAAGTTTCTTAAAATGAGAAGGTTGGTTTTCAAACTGTCCCTGAAATATCCCTCTGGGATAGGAGTGAAGATTAAGGGGCCAGTCTACTTTTATCATTTATCTTTTATAAAGCAGGTAAGTTAAATTATATTAGACTATTTTGTCAGTGTTCTTTAAAAATAGTTCCTTGACATGAAATTTGTGTAAATCACTATACTGTGTTCTTGTTTTCAGCTCTAAGTTTATGATTATGTATTAAATATCTATCTATCTATCTATCTATCTATCTAAGAATATGTCCTATCTCTTCCTCATTATATAATAACCCTGCTGGTTAGACAAGTTGTATTATTCCTACTATTTATACAAGTAAGCCAGGAGGGATGAATGATACCGTCTGAGATACATAAGTAGCTAATGGCAGATCAAAGGCACATTCATTCATTCACATTCATTCATTTGCTTGTTAATTTATTCACTTGCTCATTAATATGTTCATTCACTCTCATTCACTCACTAATTAATAAATATCAATTTATGCTAGATACTATGGTATATTCTACAGCTACAAAAAAAGCACCTCAACTCAAGCCTTGGGAGCTCAAAGATGAGTGGATGTAAGCAGGGAACATAGAGGAAGACTGAAGCAAAACTTGCAAGGGATACCAAAGGATGTCTCGCTCCTGACTGGGGCTCTGTCGCTTGAGCCACTTCACCAGGCATCTGGTCAGAAGGGTATCTTAGAACAGGCATTTGACTTATGTGTTGAAGACTAGATAGGAGTTTGTGTTGTGGAGAAGAGGCCACTTTTAAAGACCCAGTCCACTGCTTCTGCCAAAAAGCCACACAGGGGCCAAGTAGTCAAAGATAACTCTCCGTACCCTGTGGAAAGTTCTTCACCAGCACCCTGAACCAAAGATCCAGCTTTGGCTCAGAGGCCAAGAGAAGAGATTTGGCTAGAGCAGATATTGGAACTCTACCTGGGTGTGGCTGCCTGTACTGTCATATAACTGCCTGTCCAGACTACAGACTCACTTGGCCTGGGCAGGGTCATCCTCATTTTTCCTGGCTCATTCTGTCTTCCCCCTTCTATGGGAGAACACCTTCTGCACTATGTAGAGGACTGTGGGGTGCCAGCAACATGATTTCCCTACCATACCATTCCTGCCTTTTGCTTTTATGTGAAAATAGAGATCCAGTCCTTGTGGTACTCAAATACTAGAAGGAAAAAGACATTAATGAGACTGCTGATCTCATTCACTTTTTGCTCAGGCTGGCCTCAAACAGCAATCTCCTGTCTCTACCTTCTGAGTATCAGGGGTCACATGTGTGTACCACCATGATCACCTCTTGTTTCGTGTTTTTAAGGTACCTGAGCCAATCCACTGTTCTTCCTGCTAGACTACAGTTGTGAGAGATGAGAAGTCAGGCTAGGAATGGGAAGGGATAGTGAGGGGAGAGAAGGTGAGGGTGTTTGGAGGGGAAAGACATGCTAGAGGGCAGAGAAACTCATTGAACTTTGATTTCCTCTCAGTTTTGTCTAGGGCTGATCCTGACTGGTTATCTCCCATGGCTTCCTTGGTTTCAGGAAGCCCGTTTAATTCTGGTGCCTCTGGGCCCCTATGTGCCGGCACTGATGCTCTCTGGAACCTTCCCTAGGGGCTCAGACTGGTGATACAGGAAATAAAAATCCCTTCTACTCTCTGGGTATTCCTGCTATTTTCCTCTGGCCTACAGTAGTTTATCATAGGACTTTCTTTAAAAAAAAAAAAAAAAAAAAAAAGAGAAAGGAAGGAAGGAAGGAAGGAAAGAAGGAAGGAAGAAAGGAAGGAAGGAAGGAAGGAAGGAAGGAAGGAAGGAAGGAAGGAAGGAAGGAAAAGAAAGCTTTGAAGGGTATAAAAGAGGGCAGATTGAAAAACCAATGATCTTAAATCATCTTCAGTCATTACGTTACTTGTTTTCTCATATTTTAGAAAATAAAACTCACCATCGGCCGGATTCCCAATTCACCGAAATTCCATGCCACACCCTGTGCCTGCCCTTTAAAATACCAAGCAGTCTCATCTGTGCTACAAGAGAAGCAAGACTTTAACAGAGCACCGAAGAGGACTCCAGCCACCAAGAAGGTCCAGCTGCAAGGAACAGGAGAGTAGCCTGCCAGGACCCAAAGCAGCAGGAGGACAGAGCCAGGGAATCAGTAGGTGGATGCTCATCCTGACATGGCTCTGACCCAGGACAAGCCAGCATACCTCTCCATCGCTGCACCTGTGTCTTAACAAGGCAGCGACTGTTACCTCTCTGGCTGTGGCACTGGGGATGTGGAGAGAGCCACATAAGATAATGGCTAAGGTACACAGTGTCAACAGAAGGCCTCATTATCTGAGACTTTGTCCCAAACACCCACTGACATAGATTGGGCAAATCCCTCACCTAATTGATAACATTGTGTGTTCTATGAGGTCATGGTCCACACACTGACTTCTTTGTTAGGGAATGTCCACTTGGAACTACTCACTCCAGAAGACCAGATGCCCCTAAGATGTGAGACCATACAAGCCTTCGCAAGTACCTTCTGTGACCCATTGCCTCAGAAGCCATTAGACAGGCCCAGAAGCCTCTTGGACTCAAACAGCACTGTTTTCTTAAAGACATCGTAACTAGTTTAGACGTTGAAACACAGTTTGAGGTCATCTCTGGCAAAGATCTGTTGGCTTCCCAGTTAAAAAGAGAACTGCATAGCACTAAAGTATGGATAGTCTTAACTGACTGGTGCAATAAGAAATTGATTCTGGAAGGCCAAAAGAATCTGATGCTTGTTTTTTGTTTTGTTTTTTTAATAAAGCAAAGGCAGAAACTGAAAGCACAAGTCAAGTCTGAGAATATTTGAGCAAAAGTAGCTTCAGAAAGTTTATACTTCCCAGCTTGTCATTTTACATACCTGTTTAGCAACAGAGCACGGAATCAAAAAACAACTTCAGGAAACAAGTGTCTTCTATGTTGGAAATGAACTTTACAATTTGGGGGGAGGAGAGGGGACTGGGGAGCGAAAAAGTGGGAGAAAATGAGGGAGGGGGTAACCCTGTTCAAAAAGAAATGTACTCATTATCTTACTTATGTAACTCCTCTGTACATCACCTTTACAATAAAACTTAAATAAAAATGAAACAAGTATCTTGACCCTTACCTTGCATTTGGATTCAGATTAGAAAAGACCTTCAGCAACCAGAAGAGCGATTCAAGTATATTTCATGTCATATTGCCCAGACTGTCAAGAAAGTATAAAATATTTTCACATATTTGCCCTATTTAAGGTTCCATGTCTCCTACAAATGCATCCTGCAGAAATACAAAAGCACATAAAAGCAAAAAGCTTCTTGTCATACTGGAGCAATGTTTGTAATAATTTAGAGATTGCTTAATTATGATGTTACATCATTAAACACATCAGTGTGTATAGTAAATTAAAGCTGAAAGAAAGACAAGTTGCAATTACCACATTTTTCTAAACATAAACTCTTGTGTAGATGTGTATATAAGCGCTTGCCTTGCATGCCTGAGGCCCTGGTTCAATTCCTCAGCACCACATAAGCAAAAAGAAAAAAGCCGGAAGTGGCACTGTGGCTCAAGTGGTAGAGCGCTAGCCTTGAGCTGAAGAGCTGAGGGACAGCGCCCAGGCCCAGAGTTCAGGCCCCACAACCGGACCCAAAAAAAAAAGATCTCTGCAGGCCTGGTTAGGAGATGGCTAGGTTTGACTTAGGCACTGGTGTTCTTATAGACACTTGATCAGTTATCATACTGCTGCCTGGCTACCAAGTTTTTATTTCCCTAGGTTTAGAATAATGCACATTAAGTGGTCAATAAGAAATATCTTGAAACTATTACCTGCTTGTGCCTGGCATTTTCTGAAAGGCTGAAATTTGTATTTTCTTTTTGCTATGAGCATAAAAAATTACCTGCCAATGTGGTAAATAAACAAATAGGAGCATCTGCACATATAGGTATGTGCATATGCATGTGCGTGTGTGTGTGTGTGTGCGTGCGCGCACGCGCGCGCACTCGCGTGCGTGCCAGTAGTACTGGGATTGAACTCAGGGCCTTTGCTTTTTTGCTCAAAGCTGGCACCCTGCTGCTTGAGGCACAGCCCCATATTTTACTTTATGCTGGTTAATTGGAGAAAGGAGTCTCACTGATTTTTCTACCTGGGATGGCTTTGAACCACAGTCCTCAGATCTCAACCTCCTTAGGATCTAGGGTGACAGGCATAAACCACTGGGGCCTGGCTTTGAACATAGAGATTTTAGACATTCCTAAATGAGAAACCAAGATACCTCAATGAAGGAAATAAAAAATAATCCAACATATATCCTAAAAAATTAAGAAGAGTGAAGAAAGAGAGGGAGGGAGAGATGGGTGAGGATGTTGAAAGGGGTCACATTGTATTCATAAACTGCTTTGTCACATGGCAACTCCTTTGTTCAACTACTTAATGATAATCCTTTAAAAACATTTAAATACTTCTTTAAGAAAACAAAACATCAAGGTAAAATCTACCTGCGAACTGATCATTGACGGGTATGTGGTTCTTAAGGTCAAAGATCCATCGTTAGTTTCATCGGCCGGCTAAGCTACAATGCAATGCCAAAGAAGTTAAAATGAATAGAAGAACAAGCTTTACTCACAGAGGCCAAGAAGACCATGAGAGCTGAGAAGCTGATCACCTGCAAGCTCACAGCCCTGTTAGGTAACAACCCAGATTTCTTGGTCCACCCCGCGCAGTATGGAATGGTGGCCTGCCTCTTTGACCCTCTCTCAATCCCAGAATTTCCCTTATTCAGTAGAATCAGTGTGTGTGTATGTGGGGGGGTGCTGTTAGGAGGACCTACTCTGGGGGCTTCTCCCACAGGAGGAGTTTGTTCTCACGAGAAGATCTCAGGTAAAATCCAAACTTCTCCCAACCCCAAGATTCTGATAGCATGAAGCCAGGGTGGAGCTCTGGGAGCTGCATCCTCAGGACTCCCAGGAGACTTACATGCTGGTGCATCAAGGTGCACACCTCTCAGCACAGCACTGTCTCAGCGGTCCTGTGAGGAATCCCCCCAGAATCCCAGAATCTGCACCCTTGGGAGGAGGCAGGGCATGGAGTGTGCACATGTGTATTCTCCAGGAAAAGAGTCTAGCTGTCAGGTTCTGAAAGAGGCTAATATCATTACCCGTCACCCCTAATGCTGTCTCCCACAAGCCACTGCACTGTAAGGGATGCACACAGCCTGGTTTCCCTCATGCTCTCTGCTACCTGTGGAGCCACATAACCAGCGTCTAGAAGAAGCCAGGCCTTCTGGGCTTTGCCTGGTCACTCACTGCAGGGAAATCACAGGACAGCTTCCATACTTCTGCCTTCCTTTCTCAGAGTTAAGTTCCTCTTTGCCCTCTGGGCTTCCCTTTCCAGGGGCTGCTGGTGGCCCTGGAACTCAAGCTCAGTTCTTTCTCCTAACTGTCATAGGAGCCTCAAGCCCTAGAAACAGAGGTGCTTGCCCCAAGTCTAGCTTTCAGGATTCTCTTATGTTACCAGGCAAGACCCCTTTCTCAGAATAGCTGGTAAAGCCATCCAGCCAGGGTTGAGAAAGGCTCAAGTGTGACATCGATTGTGATTTCACCTGAGCTGAAAGTCTCCCACTCCCGTGGTCCCTCGGGAGGATGGGCCTCCTCTGTGCCTACTTCTGGGTGGAAGGTACAATGAGAATGGGCTGCAGCCTTTCTTGGCCATCATGTCCTTGTCCTAAATTTGGTGTGACTCTTCATTCTTGCTGGGGAAGAAACAAGAGTTCAGAAGCGTGGAATGACCCACCTGGCTGGCCCCAATTCTGTGCCAGGCCGATGGCTCCCAGGCCCACATTTTCTGTGGGGACATACAACTTTCCAGAGGGACATTGGAGCTTCCAACTTTCCAGTCTGCTCCCACTTCCTTACAGGTGTCCTTACAGGTGTGTCTAGCAGAGTTCTTAAGAGCCACCTGGAGACTTTTATTTTTTCTTCAAGGAGGATGCACTGTTTAGAATGAATTCCAAAGAGCATCTGGTGAGGGAGGAAAACAGGCACAGAGTCAAGAATATCCATCCACACTTGAAGTTATTGGTTTCCCTGTTATGTGGGTATGCATTCCTGGAGAACTTGCTACTTCATGTGGAGGGCATGCCACTGCAGGTTGACATGTATATATGAAAGTATGTTTACACATATGTCCTGGGGAAGGAGGGAAAGTAATGTACAGCCCAAAGATGCTCTAATACACAGACAGAGCAGCTGACATATATCACATGCACCCACCCCACCCTTTCTCTTCAGAGCTTGTGCCAAGTGCCTTTCCCTTAGGAAGACGAGAAGAATGTCAAGTATCATAAACAGGCCCCAAACAAGAGACAGCTCTCAGACTCAGCTGGATTAAATCAGGATTCTTTCATGAAGTTGGACTAAGAGATATGTAAGAAATGGGTTTTATTGAGAAAGCTTTTGGAAACATTAGAGTTAATGAAGTCTTTGTGTAATTATCAGCAACCTAGTAGGGCCATGAAGCCATTCTCCATGCAAACTCAGTCTATGTGATTCTAGAAAACTAGATACTTACACAAATCATGAACTTAGAGCACTGGGCCTGGAGCTGAACTGCTTGGGCCTGGAGCTGAACTGCTTGATGTGTTAGCTGCCAGCCACATGTGACTATTTAACTTTTTAAACTACTAAAAACTGAATCAAATTTCTCAGGGGCATTAGTGACACATTTGAAGTGTCAATAGCCTTGCATAATAACTGTCTACCATATTGGGCCATGGAGGCGTAAACTATAACATCACTATAGAAAGTTCTAGTGCAGTGTTTGCTCCATGTTAAGTCCCAGGGGCAACAATTTACAGCTTATTCACTGCCATATTCTTAGCACATAAGCACAGAGCATAACTCATAAAAATGCTCAGTAAATATACCCTAATGAGAAATCACTGCATTTTGAGCCGAACAGCATTCATAAACATGATTCAACTTTGATAATGCTTTCAAATAAAATATACCAGTAACATTGGTAACATTTTTCCTCCTCCTCCTCCTTCTCCTCCTCCTCCTTCTGCCTCTCCTTTTTCTCCTCTTTCTCCTCCTCTTAGTG